CGTTTGATCTGATCTCAGGTACCTGAACGTGCTGAACGACGATGACTTCCAGAAAGCCGTCCGGGACCTCCAGTTGACCAAAAGCATCTGGACCATTGACTTGGCCTACCTGATGCGTCACTTTGGGGTGAAGCACCGTTTCTGTACCCAGACGCTGGGCGTGGACAAGGGCTACAAAAACCAGGTCAGCTTGTCTGAATGCTGGTGCTTCAGGCACGAGGGAAGCTTTAGAAAGAATGCTTCGCTTCTCTAAGAAGCGTGACAGCGTCAGAGCATGCATGGCCATTCGCTGCACAATCAACCTTTGGAGCCAATCCACTGGAATTCTCTAGATCACCTCAGGGAGAGGTTGCCTTCTGCCCACAGGATGCCTCAGAGCCTTTCTTTTTAAGCCTTCCAAGATGATCCTTGATTGGCTGGCTTGGCTCAGGAGGGCTGCCCCACAAGTGTTCTCTTGGGGGAGGAGGGGGGCTCCCCCTACAGAGCCTAGCAGCCCCTTCCCAGGCTTTTCACCTGGAAAGTGGCTTGTGATCTGACAGGGCGCCTTGTCCATTTTCTTTAGTCTTTCTATAGAAAACACTTTGACACAGAGGAAAACCGAGTAAACCAGCTGTTTGCCCAAGCGAAAGCCTGCAAGGTGCTGGTGGAAAAACGGTGAGCTCTCAGCCAGTGCTTTTCCTTTCTTCCTCTAGTTCTAGCAGGTGGTCCAACTGTTAATCCAGGTACGCAGGGTCTGTTGTATCCAAAGGGCCTAAGCAAACCCGTATCGCTTTCCTATGTCTTTTAGAGAGGGTGTAGCAATGAGAGCTGATTGTCTTTTGGATACAAGGATTTGAAATCTTATGCTTGGAAATAAGCCCCTGAGATGAATGAGATACACTGAGCAAAGGGGTGCAGCGTGACTGAGGCCACATTTTTTTAGCTTTTTTTCTCCCATCAAAAGCACTGGAAATAATAAAGGATGGAGTCCCAAAATGCTCAGATATGGCCCAGAGGGCTGAAGAATCTGCTTGTGGGTGTAACAGGCGGACGGTGAGAGTGGGTGTGCATGTGCCAGTTAGAGAAAGATGATCAGCGTCAGCTGGACTGCTCTTCCTACTGCTTGCTCGTTTTCCAGCATCCTCATTTCTCACAGGTCGTGGTTCTCTTTTTGCCTTTCAGTGGCTTTCTCCTGCACTGGGTAGGAATTTCCATGGAAGTTGCTAAGGAGCATCGCAAGGCATGGTGTGACTATTAGTTTGAAGGGAAGAGTTGGAGAAAGAGTGACTTTTGTGGACCATTTGTTCACCATTCCCTCTCCTGAGGGCAGGGAGGGAAGCATGGAGAGTCCACTGGATGCTTGTAGGGAAATGCAAAAGGTTCCGTGTACAAACCCGTTCATGGACAGAACGGCTGGTTTCAAGTAACTTGAGCTCAAATAGAGACATGTGTATTTTGGATGTTTTGGTCCATGCCCAGAATGAAATTGGGCTCTTTGGTTCTGTAGGGACTGAAAGGTGGTGGTTCTGGGCAGCAGATGAGAGGCGTAAAAGCAGGAAGAAGTCAAGGCTATGAGTGGCAGCAACTTGGGGAGGGGTTGGAAGGATCTGGGGTGTGTGCATGCCAAGGATGAGGCATTGGGGCCTTGGTGGTGGCTCAGGGGAGAGAGGAAGGTGCCGGGAAGGTCGGAGGGGCAGATAGGCAGGTGGGATACTCCACCCTGGGAACTACTGAGGGAAGGGGGGGGGCAAAGCACACCACCCAGTTCTACTTTTTCTATAAAATCCCTCTGGCTTTTGCTTTGTCCTAAACTCAGAATCACCAAAAAATTCCAGGTTTTGTTCTTTTCTAAATTGTAGCCAATCCATAACAGTTTGGCATTTCTGGAGCATGGTGTGTGGTAGGGTTTGAAATAAAACATAACTTTACAACTTGTGTGCATCCGTGGATGCCTGCCAGGTGTTTTGGGGATTGGCTTATTTTGATGATTGTAGCAGGACCATTTTTTCTGTTTAGAAGAGGGAGGGAGCCAAGGGTCACTCTCTGTTGATCAAGCAGTCTTGTGGTTGGCTTCCTTTGCAAGGGGATGTACTGAGAGAGGCAGGATCATCCCGGATTGCTGTTGGAGTTTTACCTGAAATATGGGAACTGGGAATGAGCTCCACTGAAATCAGATAAGCAAGGAGCAACCTAGAAAGGGAGTGGGTTATGTTGCTTCCTTGGTGACCGTCTCTCTGTTCTGAGGATGCCAGTTGTGGCACGCCTAGGACTGGGGTGCAGACATCTCAAGGGCACAAGTTTCATCTAGTGAAGACTCTGGTGGTTCTTTAAGCGGTCATCTGTGCATTCCCCTAGAGGGGCTTCCAGGCCTGTGCAAGGGTCACTTGAAAGCTCAATCTGGGCCTAAGTGTTTGGGCAGGAAGCCGCTGCGGTATAGCTGCGCATGTCCAAGGAAGTTCCCTCCCTTTTCCTCAGGCTTGTGAACTAATGCAGTGGTCTTTTACTCACAGAAATATTCTTGGCAAGGGGATGGCAGATGGCCACTCAAAGAACCACAGTTACAGGTAAGCAACCTGTTCTTCTGCTTTGTGGTCTCTGGGCCTCACACAGAGGGGAGAGTAGCAAGCTATACTCACTGGAAGTGGGCAGGTTTCTAACTATGTAGATAAAGACAAGAAGCTACCTCTGGTAAAAATGAAAGATCCGTCATCAGAGCAGCCTTGTCCTTAGCAGAACATAGAATGGAGTATCTGCTCTGGGGTAACATTCACAGGCTCTTGTGATGGACCTAGTTAAATTAAATTAAATTATTAAGTTAATATCCTGCTTTTTAAAAAATGTAAGTAGTTGCTAGCAGAAGAACTTTCTTCAGAGGCAATGTGTGTAAGGAGCCGTTCAAACTGCAGGTATCTACTAAGTAGTATCGATAGATTTCTGCATATGCCAGCGGGGATATGCATCTCTGAAACTCTTCAGAAAAGGCTTGGTAAGAGATGCAAAAAAAATGAGGAAGAGAATGCTAAAACCACAGCCAGGACAAGGCAAATCTTGGGCCATAGAACCAGGGAAAATATGAAGAGAAGAAAAAGGTCCAGGGGCAAATCCCTAGAAATTTATAGAAAAGGAAATTCATTTCCAGCTGAAGATCCTGGAGCTGCTGAGAGGATGGCTGTTGTGGTTTAAGAAGAGGTTATTTGATGGTGAGTCCTGAGAGGCTTTGCCCTGCTCTGCAGGATCTATCTGGGGTTGGGAGCCTTTAAGCAGAGGGAGTGAAGGTCTAGCAAG